ACATATTTATTTCCACATAGAGTAACAAATTCGTACGGGTATCACAGAGTAGACACGGTCAACTCTAGTTTTTCTCGTTATTTTAATTGAATCAAATTTTGAAATATAAAAATTAGTAAAAATCTATTCGTTTTCAATAAAAAAAAAATTTACATTTTCTTTTGACAATTTTAATTACAAGGATAACAGGAGATAATTTAGGGCATTTAAGTTAATTTAAATAACTAAGATTTTTCTTTTCTTTGAAAATTTTCATAATTTTTTAATTAATCTGACAACTTGAAGAAGACATTAGACAGTAAAATTCTGCATTGATTTGGACATGTCCGTCCATTCGATCGCACGATGACTGAAAAACGAATAAATCAAACACCACCAAACTTTGCCAAATTGTTTCTTTTCAGTCAAAGACGGTTGATATTGCCATTTTATCAATTCAAATAACAGCAAATCAAAATAATAAAGTTAGTTGCATTACTGCCAATATATCTGACTATAATTGCAGTTCCGGTATATCCTTAAAGTTTTTTGTGGAATAGCCTGACCAGTTTGAATAGCTTTCATACAATTCTAAAAGCTAATTTTAAATACTTTAAAAATTAGTTTTAGTCACATTGTGAAGGCGTGAGGTATAATTTAGTCGGTTAAGATCAATTGAAATGTTTTTATTTGTTTTATTACAACAACAAGTTTTTAACATATTATTTTTTTTCTACAGAGAGTTTTGAAATTAAATATCATTGTGTTATAACGCTCATTTAGAGGCTTTGTAATTAAAATTTTTATTGTAAAACTAAAAAATAAAATTCTTTGCTATTGATTTTTTTTTTTAAATCAAATACGGAAAAATCATAATTATTTTACATAAAAAGGAATATTAAATGAAAGGATAAGATGTTGGACTTTAATGTAGGAAAATTTAATATATATTTTAAAAACTTTCCCAATAAATCCTTAAATGAAAGAGAAAGGGAATTAAAAAGATAATTAGAAACTCAATTAAAAACTGAATATTTAATGAGTGCGATAATTAAAATCATAAACGATTGATTAAATTCTAAAGCTCTGTAATATATTAATATTGTTAATTGGATTCACATAATAATTAATTGGTGCAATATAAAAAATGCATTTCCTAAATAGTTGAAGAACAATTTTAAATTCTTAATTAATTTTTTTTAATTATAAATTTCAAAATATTTCGCTGATTTCGTTTTACGATTATATTATTTATGTAACACTAATGACATAATTACTTGCTCACTTCAAGTGGGCCTCATTACCGTTTATTTATTTTGTTTTAAATGTGGGAATAAAATATTAGAATATATTTCTTTTCATAACGGCTATTACAAGTTAAACATTACTGTATAGAAGATCATTCGAAACCATATAACTAAATTTTAATTCTGAAAATTTCACTAAATTAATTATTCACAGCAACAAAGAAAAATTCTACTAGTAACATTGAAATTTCGAAATTAATATTAATTTATGTACGTTCGGATTAATCTTTGAATGAAAATCAAATGAGTATTTTTTGTTTTAAGTAAAGGTTGAACTTATAATCGGATTTATTAATATTTGGTATGAAATAATTTCTGTTTAAAATTGTAGTAATTTAATAATATTATATTTGATATTCTACTTAAAATTTCTAAGTATTTCCGTTATTTAAGCTTTTTATAAAATATTTAATTAGAATACATACAGTTACACCAGAAAGTATGCATTCCGTTCTAATTGTCTGTATAAGTAGGAATGAATGTATACTTTTTGGCACAGAGTAAATCAAAATTACTTAAAAAATTTATTCAAACTGAACTCTGAAAATTTACTCTGAAGATAAAGTTTATAATTTCAAAATGCCAAATATTATATTCTGTCTATTATATAAAATATCCAACAAATTTCGAAAACGAAATACTTATTAGCTCCACTATTTTCTCGCACTTCTGCTAACAAAAGTTATTTTTACACGTTCTTTGAGATAAAAAGCTGCAATTTTATAGAGGGTTGAAATTTTTCCTCAAAATATCACATAATATGCAATTTTACATCTTTTTTATTATATATTTTTGTAGTTTCCAGCTCTGTAAAGAGGTTTATGAGAAGTTTTTTATCGGTTTTAATTCTTTTTATATTGTTCCGTTGACTCAATTGACTATAATTGCTTTTCTAAAATTATTTGCTAAAAGATCATAAAAATTATGTTGAATGCCTCATATTAATTGGAATAGGTAAATTTAAATACTAAAGTTTAATCCTTTTAAAATTTTACTTTCTAATCCTATTAATCTTATTAAAATTGATGATTTTTTTTTGAATTTCATTGAAATTTTTTCACAGTTTCGGATATGGTGAAAATATGAGTACAAAAATGATTTTAATTTTCGGTAAATTAAAAATCGATAATGATTTATGATGATTTTTTTTTGGTAAGAGTTTGTTTATTAGAGGCTTAAGGTGAGGGTTGTTAAGAGAAAAAATCTTTGATTTAATATTTAATTTATGTAAAATTAATTAGAAACGACTGGCTGAGCATTAGTTTTTTTTTTGTTTTTTCCACTAGATAGTTAAATTAGAAGATCTTATTTTGTTTCAATATTTTTTCAAGGATTTTCGAATTAAAGATTTACGTAAATAAGTCTTTTTGACGTTTTTGTCTTTTTCAAATTAAGGAAAAGAGATGAGGAAAATTTTATGAGATTTTCATTTATTTTATTTTTGTTTTTTTTTTGTCTTAAAATATTTTATTTAAGTTTTCATAAAAAAACATTATTAATGGCTATCCCTTTATTTTTATTTTCAAATAAAAAAATGTGTATGGAATGTAAAAATAAAATTTTATTTAAGCCATAAACAATTTTAATGATTTTTGAACAAAATTTATATTGCAAAATATGTAAAGATGACTGTTGTAATTTAATATAGTACTTTTGTATGTGTTATACACCATTATAAACTTCGAATCGGTCGGAAATAGAATATTCTCAGACTCTTATGCAATTATTTAAAATTATTTTATCGTAAAGACCAATCTAATGTGACTTACAATGAGTGAACCACTACAAGATAAAGTAAAATTTGGGTAAAATAATTCCGAAAGTTTTATACATAAAAGAGAATTTAGTGCTACTTTTTGCTACAAATATCATTTAGCAATTTTCCAAAAAATTTAAAAAAAAAGCTTATTAGTTTTACTCTGTCCGTCCGTGGACATTTTTACAAAACTTCTACACCCTTGAAGATAGAAAGCTGAAATTTATTACGTACACAGATCTTTACTAGAAACTTATTTCCGTAGAACAAAATTTTTACCTATATCTCCCACCTCTACAAGTTATTTCTACTCCAAAACCTTACAAATGCCATTTTTTATTTATTTATAGCAGTAAATAAGCATTTTTCAAATTTTGTAAACGCAGAAAGGCAGTTACTTGCTTCTCCTATAGCAGCATGTTATAGTTAAACTTTAAAAAAACAAAATGGTAGTTAAAATTTACCGTTATCTAACATCTAGTTGGAGGAGTCTGAAGTTTACAGCTTTTAGACACTAATAAATAGTTTATTTCGTTAGAGGAAGATTTTTTTTCATCTCCACCCCCTCTCAAGTTATCGCCTCTTAAAATTTGTAAAATTTGAATTTTTGACATCTTATATTTTCGAAACCGCAAGCTTTTTCAAATTTCTATAAACACAAAAAGCTAACGGTAAATTCCATGACATTAAAAAATATAATTATTTTTCTTAACTCACACAATTAACCCTTAAAATCGAGCATTATGTTAACCCACACTTTATATTAATTTTTGCTTTATTTCAAAGACTGAATAGATCGTTCATCCTAAATATATGCAACCCTAGAAATAGTTTTGTATATGAATGAAAATAATTTTAATACTGTGATAGGTATACATAGACTGTATTTAAAAGCAGTATTTTCACTTGTTTAAGGGAAAAGTGCTACAATACAAACCAGTGGTTTGTCCCAACTGTTATATAGGAGTGATCTCTGACGAAAAATGAAATGTAAAGCATGAGGAAAAACGGAGAATACAATTTTTGATTAGGTTTTTTAATATTTTGCAGTACGATATTAAAGATTTTTTTCAAATTCTTGAATAATTTTTAACAAAAAAATTTCCTTAAAGTTCCTCATCCTTTACAAGAGAATATAATATACTAGTAATTATTTTGGTAACATTGTTATTAACAAAAAAAATTCCTTAAACAATTATAAAAAATTTTATATTTGTTTTCTCTTTTGTATTCTCATATAAATTCGTAGAAAAATCGAAAAGTCTTGCCATATATTGAATTTTAGTAAATTTAAGGTTACCAAATTACATTATAATTCAATATGATTAGATGTACGTAAGTAGTATGGAATAATTATTATTATTAAGTACACGCTTTAATTAGCTAATAAAAATTAAAATTGAAAATTTTTAAAAAATAATTGAGTTGTAAAAACCGCATTTTATAAGGCTAGTTTAAGGAAGGTAGGATAGGCCAACAAGAAGAAGTTGTATGATAAATAAAAAATGCAGCTCATGAATTTACTATAAAGCAGTGCTGACATATCGAATATTGATCATGGATTATGTTTGATCTGATGAAAATTTGTTGAAGGGCGAATGTACATTTTTGTCATAATACATTTGTAAAATACATTTTTGTCATAATACATAATTTCCTTTTTAAATAAAATGCTATGGCTGTCGGCAACATTTTTAAATTTAAATGAAAAAGCCATTATAAATAAGTATAATGTAAGTAGAGGTAACATATTGTAGATTAAATTTTATAAATCAAGTAAAGCAAAAGGTCATGTAAATGAGCAATATATAAAAGGGTACGACAATATACATGTGCACATACATATGTCAAAATGTATACAATTTTTTTTTTTAATTAATTACACAACACATTTACACAAATCAAATCCTTTTTTTTTTCAATGTTTCTTTTTTACTTTATTTTATTGATTCTCTTACCTGGTACACTCAATTTTCGTTGCAGGTGAGTTACCATCATTCATTTTTATCAAATTTTTTGTTGTGTACCTGAAAAAAGTTAATTGTGGTTGCTAATACATCAGGTTTTTTTTTTATTTTATTTTTTTTTACAAAAAAATTTTGTAAGCTTATTTTTAATCAATTCTTCATGCAAAAATTTACATAATTATTATTGTATGTATGCACGTATGTATATTTATATGTGTTATATCCTTTTAACGGTAATGTTTGGATTAATGGCAATATGGAATTTTTATAACAATAATAAAGATAACAATGAATGAGAAAAAAAGAAAGAAAATTATAAAATAAGGAAGGTAGGTGACAGTTTAAAAAATTCTATAAATAAATTTTTTATTGTTAAAAAATGTGTAGCAAAACCAAAAGGAAAAGAAAAATCATTAATAATAATATTTTTGTAGAGAAGGAGATGAATAAGAGCGTGAAAAAAAAACAATATTTTCCACAAATTGTATAATATCAATAAACAAATTTTGTAAGTATACAAACATACATAAGGGGTACGTGTGCGGTATGAATGAGAACAACAATAATAAAATTTAGTAACAAGGAACATGCAAAATAAATAAAAATATTTTCTTGTTTTGAAAACATCTTCTTTTAACAGTTTATTTACTCGGACGTAAATTAATTACTTGTATTTTCTATAAATATAACAAAAAAGGTATAGGTAGTTGAGGTTTTTGGTTTTAAAGGATTTTTGAAAGTATAAAGATAACCACAAGAATCAGCCATTTATATTATTCCATTTAAAAACTTTGTGTACATAAACGTTTCTGTTATACCAACAGAAGCGCAACTACATGTATAACAGTTGGTAATTTTAGTTGAAAAAATGTTTCCACGAAAACCACAATCATAAATTAAATTCCTGCAATAGACATGAAATTTTTTATTATGCGACGTAACTAAATTTTACTAAGTTAACTGTTTAATCGTAAATTTACTATGTATTTAAGTTGCGGTAAATGGAAGTTATGATGAAAAATTGAATTAAATGACTTACCAAGAAAACAGGTGGAAAGCAAATTAATGATATATAAAAATACTAATATTCAATAGGCAGATATAAATTTCAAAATTTGAAGTATCTATTGTGAAAGTGATTTAAGAAATCGTCGTATATAAAAATTTTGGAGCAATATGGTATTGTAAAAATTGTTTTTAGATACGAAACCTGGGGTGCGAATGAAATTGTATTTGTGTTGTAAAATTTAGGGACATAATTTATAAATTCGGGGGAAGAAAAGAACCGAAAATAGAGGAGCATACAACCTCATATGGGTAGCGAAAAATAGACTGCATTTTTTTATACTTTTTATACTTATAATATTATAAAAGTTTCAATGAAATTCTTTTATATTTTAACTATTTCATTCTATAACTGGAAATTAACTTTCTGAAATCTGATTTTCTTAATAGGTTAGTTAGATATTTTGCTGATTTTTGACTACTTTCTCAAAAATGGTCAAAATTTCAAATTTGGCTCTTAATAAAAGGATAGTTATAGCGACCGAACCGAAGCAATTGCTTACTCAATCTCCGGTAATTTACTAAAAATAGTTGTTTTGAATTGATCCAACACGAAAAAGTGCATTTCTGTTAAAATTTTGGTAAGTTAAATATTGCATGAAAACATGAACTGTAAGTTTTAGATGTTTGCTTATAACTTGTAAATTTGAGTAATCGACGCCTTGAGTTTTCGAAATTACAGGCCTATAAGCTTGAATGTAAAAGCTTAAATGTAATAAGCAAAATTTAATGAATATATTTTGTTTTTTAATAAAAGCAATTTAACGACAGTAGCTATTTTCGCTTTTTAAAGGGAAATGTGCTACAATGAAAACTCTTGATCTGAATTTATTCCCTATAATTTTTGTTTTTCCTTTCGTTTTTCTTGAATGTATTATATAGATATAATACAATACAACGGTTTACATGTAATAAAAAGTCATACAGATAAATATGTTAGAATTTCGAAGATTTAATCTCTTATAAATTTAAGGTTTTTGTTAAATTATGTATGCAAATTACAAACGATTAGTCAAACTTACTTCTGTAGGTTATGATTTTTATTCTTAGGGTTTAAATTCAAATGTCATCAAATTTTAATGAAGTCTATTTGTAAAATTTTTAAAATAAAATAAAATCTTTGAAAAATAAAACAAAAGTAAAGAGAAAAAAAGCAGAGTTCGGTAAATACTTGAAAATTTTTTTTATACCAAAAAAAAAGTAAAAACAAAAAGTATTTTTATAAGAGTATTATTGTTGCATTAGGGTTAGCCTATTACAATAAATTGCTTGTATTACTCATTTTGAATTACTTTTAAAGGACCCTAAATATTTACAACATTAAAAGTCATTATTATTCATTGCCAAATTTTACACATAAATCTTAAATATTAAATTTAGAGCATTATTTATTATTTAGATAAAGTCATTAGGATAACAAATATAAATGAACAGGGTGGGTAAGACATCGAAAGTGCATGTTGTATGTTCATTTTTGTATTGAGTAGAATATCGATTGCTTAGGTTTAATAAAAAAGATGCAAGTAAGTTTTGTTGAATTTTACCTTGTGGGTCATATTACAAGTATGTCATAGGTTAAAGATTGTTGTAAAGCTTTAGCCTTCGGTAGTTTATATACCGATTATTTCAATTGCAAATGAAAATGTTGAGTTGAAATGAGCCACTGCGTTTTGAATTAGAACGTGAATTATAAGAATAAGTTGCACTAAACTGCATTCACCTGTGTTGACCGAGTTTTTATTTTGTTATTGACTAGAAGTGGAATGAATATTCTTCAGATTTAATTTTCCAATTTTTCATTCTGTTTCGTCTTTAAATATAAATTATTATAATTTAAATATAAATCTGCTTGTACAATTATTTACAAGTAGTTATATTTGTACACCGTTATAATCGTTAAAAACGTTAATAAATCGTAATATGGATGTTGGTGTTTTCAATGTATATCCTAAAGTATATATGTCATTCTTCAAAATTCACCCGTAACACTCTTAAAACCCACAACTTTATTAGGATTTTAGATACCCTTTCACTTTAAATTAAGATATTAAAAATAGCATTACCCACCCTAACACCAATGACGTCTTACGAATTTATCATATAAATTTATTTAACTCATATTTTAATAAAAAAATTTTGTAAAAATAAAGCAAAATTTTACATACACAACTAGAGCATGTTATAAGAAAAAAGTATGTTTAGGTGTGAAATTTTATTAAATGTGAAAAATGAATAATAAAATTATCCTTGAAAAAGTTTTACAAGTTATAATCAAAATTCGTATTAAAAAAAAACATTGTTGTACTGAAGAAATGGTTAAATATTAAGCACATAAATATGAAATTTTTCTTGTATTGCTCTCCTCCATATTTAAATTCAAGTTATGTGTCACATGGCAAATCACCATAAAAATGCCAATAATTTTAAATTATTGTTTCTTAATAGAAGTTTTTCTTTCTTTTTCATTATTCAATATTATTCATATTATGAATTATATTAAAATATTGTTGAATTGCTTAAACATGTGCAATTCAGAATATCTAAGTACGTATATGAGAGGATTAAGGGATAAAAAGTGAAGATTTCATAGAAGAAAATGTTTAGAAGGTTCCATGGTTCTACTGCGCTTCGTCTAAGTGCAGATGTGGCGCCTATCGAGTACTCCTCTGAGACCTATCCTTTCAATGAATTCAACACCACGAAACCGCTTCTACTGTTAATCAGAGATCTCAATTTATCAAAGTCTTTTCCCTCCACACAGAATCCAAACCCAACTGCAACGGTGGTATGCTGCAACTCTAGGCGACTCCCTTGTAGTTCCGACGTTTCCCTTTCAATTTTTTTCTTGAGATTGTCTCAGGCTTAACGCGGAAAGAAGATTTCAATCTAAGGGGATGATTTTCTTAAAAAACATAAGCAAAAAATTTTACATTTTTGTGTTGTAGTAGGGTACGTTTGTTTTTTTTACTTACATTAAGCTTACGAAGGAGTTAATTGTCAAAACAGGCTGATAATTGTGATACTCAATTGTTGGCTTTTATGATCAGTGTACTTCGGCATATATATAATTTATTGCATTCTTTTGTCCTAATTAAAGCCAACTTCAATGCGGCATATAAGTAGTTATAAAAGCCAAACATAATACCAAATTTTGGAAAATAAAATTTTCAATAAAAAAAAGGATCTACTATTTTTGACTGATTTCACATAAACCCCACTGATCTAATTACTGTTCACCCCTGATTATCTGTATGAAACTCATATACATTTTATTATTTATAAATCAAATTATACATACAATCAACAGATTTATAAACATATATGAGTTCATTGGTATGAACATGATTGGAAAATACATGTATATGTGATGTGTAGTATTGTATGTATGTGTATGCTAAAAAGTTATGGTTTTATTTATTTTTTTTATAAAATTCATATAGAAAATGGAAAAAAAAATAAATTTTCGGGGTATAAAAGAGAATTTAAGAGAATAAAATAGAAAGCAGCTGCGATTATCCTTTTTTTCAGACCGTCCTTTTATAAAAATCCATCTGGTGATAGAAAAGAATCGCCTAAGAGAAATCAATTAAGAAAAATCATCCAGTCTCCTAGTCTTACTTTTTCGGATTTTTTTTTTAATAGCACTGCCGAGTACATTGAAATATTGAATAACTTTTTCTATTTGTTTTTTTTCTTCTTTTTTTATACATATTTTTAATTTTTATGTTATGAATAAAATATTAACAAAAAAAAAATTAAAATATTTTCTATACACTACGAGTTACAAGATTTCAATGCGTATCCTCAATTCGGAATTTAATTGAATTTTCCACAAAAAGAGAATTAAAAAAAAAAACGTTTTCTATCATTCGTTCGGGATTTATTGAATATTGTGTTGTTTGGGTGTTCCGCACACGAAAATGAAATATTTGAATTTAAAATATTTTGATATTTTTATGAATCCAGTTCCAAGAACCATTTTATCATAGGATATT